CCTCCTCACCCACTTTCCTGTAACCACAAACTTTTGCTGAACACTCTAACACAAAAATTTTTAAAAAACCCACCCCCTACCTCTTTGACCCCTTGCCTAGCTCTCATTAGCCCATCTATCCTCCCAAAAAGCTTTATATCTTAACCAACGCCCCCTTTTTTGTTTAAAAACCTTCACCTCTCTCTCCCCGATCTTTATTCTCCTTTATCCCATCACCTTTTTTTTCAGTGTACTACAACTAAAAATATCTGATAATTTGGCCCCTCTAAAACAGTCATCCTAAGTCTATCAACATCTTTTTTCTACCAAACAAAAATCCAACAAAATATGTCTTTCGCCCTACATCATATCGTGATACTTATTTATCCTCTTTTCTTTTAAAAAATTTATTACCTAAACTAAACCCCTTTTTATACAAAATTTTAATCAAAGGGCTTCCCTTTTCATTTACACCCGGCCACCCAAAATTACCTACCACACCCCTCTAAAAGTTTCTCCTCTTTTTCATTTAAGTCCCTACCAATTACTCTTTTACTTGGTTCAAAGGCCCTATAATTCACTTTTAAAATCTCCCAAAACTCCTCTCTCCCTCATTCCCTCTTCTCCCGGTGCATACACCTTATTTTAACCCCCTTCTGATCCAACCTTTTCTTTAATCCACAAATTCTTTAATTTACCATTTTAAATTTTCTTTTTTCCCCCCATAAAAGATCATTTAACATTCTGCACCCCTTCCTTTGCCTAACTCTTCAATACCCAATTTTAAACCCCTTTATTTTTCCCCCCCCGAAACCTCCCACCCCTTCAGCTTTGTTTCGCTTAGGGGGAGGGCTCCAACTTCTTTTTATTCATAAAAATCACAATCACTGTTTCTTGTCATCCCACTAATCCCACGCACATTTAAGCAACCAGTTTTATAAAGTTTTTCTTCTTCTCTTTTTTAGTAATTGTATACGGGAGAAGGGTTACTAGCCCATTGCTCCCGGCATTTTAGTCGCCTCATACGACACGCATGGCTTTTACGGAGGAAAGTTTCTTTTCCACTTCCCCATGGACAATAGAAGAAATTATTTTTATTATTATTATATCATTATTTTTATTACTATTATTATATTATTATATTATTATTATTATTATTTTATTATTATTATTATTAAAATTATTATTTTATATTGTTATTATTATTATTATTATTATTTTTATTATTATTAATTATTATTATTTATTATTGTTTATTTATTATTATTATTATTATTATTTTATTATTATATTAATTATTATTGTTTTATTATTATTATTATTATTATTATATTATTATTATTTTTATTTTTATTATTATTATTATTATTATTATTTATTATATTATTATTATTTTTAATTATTATTAATTGTTATTTTTATATTATTATTATTATAATTATTATTATTATTAATTATTTTTAACTAACACAAAGGTAACAACTGACTGCTAGGTGAGCAGAGGCAGCAAGAGTACGGTGACTAACACCTCAGTACCTACTTGTTGCTAGTGACTAGTGACAGCACGTGTACGGTGACTAACACCTTAGTACCTACTTGTTGCTAGTGACTAGTGATAGCAGGTGTACGTGACTAACACCTTAAAGTACCTACTTTTTGCTAGTGAATAGTGACAGCAGGTGTACGGTTACTAACACCTTATTACCTGCTTGTTGCTAGTGACTAGCGACAGCAGGTGTACGGTGACTAACACCTTAGTTCCTACTTGTTGCTATTGGCTAGTGACAGCAGGTGTACGGTGACTAACACCTCAGTACCTACTTGTTGCTAGTGACTAGTGACAGCAGGTGTACGGTGACTAACACCTTAGTACCTACTTGTTCCTAGTGACTAGTGACAGCAGGTGTACGGTGACTAACACCTCGGTACCTACTTGTTGCTAGTGACTAGTGACAGCAGGTGTAAGGTGACTAACACCTTAGTACCTACTTGTTGCTAGTGACTAGTGGCAGCAGGTGTACGGTGACTAACACCTCAGTACCTACTATTTCCAAGTGACTAGTGACAGCAGGTGTACGGTGACTAACACCTTAGTACCTACTTGTTGCTAGTGACTAGTGACAGCAGGTGTACGGTGACTAACACCTTATACCTACTTGTTGCAAGTGACTATGACGCAGGTGTACGGTGACTAACACCTCAGTACCTACTTGTTGCTAGTGACTAGTGACAGCAGGTGTACGGTGACTAACACCTTAATACCTACTTGTTGCTAGTGACTAGTGACAGCAGGTGTACGGTGACTAACACCTCAGTACCTACTTGTTGCTAGTGACTAGTGACAGCAGGTGTACGGTGACTAACACCTTAGTACCTACTTGTTGCTAGTAACTAGTGACAGCAGGTGAACGGTGACTAACACCTCAGTACCTACTATTTCCTAGTGACTAGTGACAGCAGGTGTACGGTGACTAACACCTTAGTACCTACTTGTTGCTAGTGACTAGTGACAGCAGATGTACGGTGGCTAACACCTTAGTACCTACTTGTTGCTAGTGACTAGTGACAGCAGGTGTACGGTGACTAACACCTTAGTACCTACTTGTTGCTAGTAACTAGTGACAACAGGTGTACGGTGACTAACACCTTAGTTCCTAGTTGTTGCTAGTGACTAGTGACAGCAGGTGTACGGTGACTAACACCTCAGTTCCTACTTGTTGCTAGTGACTAGTGACAGCAGGTGTACGGTGACTAACCCCTCAGTACCTACTTGTTGCTAGTGAATAGTGACAGCAGGTGCACGGTGACTAACACCTCAGTACCTACTTGTTGCTAGTGACTAGTGACAGCAGGTGTACGTGACAAAAACCCCTCAGTAACCTACTTGCTGCTAGTGGACTAGTGACAGCAGTGTAGGGTGACTAACACCTTAGTGCCTACTTGTTGCTAGTGACTATTGACAGCAGGTGTACGGTGACTAACACCTCAGTACCTACTTGTTCCTAGTGACTAGTGACAGCAGGTGTACGGTGACTAACACCTCAGTACCTACTTGTTGCTAGTAACTAGTGACAACATGTGTACGGCGACTAACACCTTTATACCTACTTGTTGCTAGTGACTAGTTACAGCAGGTGTACGGTGACTAACACCTCAGTACCTACTTGTTGCTAGTGACTAGTGACAGCAGGTGTACGGTGACTAACACCTTAGTTCCTACTTGTTGCTAGTGACTAGTGACAACAGGTGTACGGTGACTAACACCTTAGTTCCTACTTGTTGCTAGTGACTAGTGACAACAGGTGTACGGTGGCTAACACCTTAGTTCCTACTTGTTTCTAGTGACTAGTGACAGCAGGTGTACGGTGACTAACACCTTGGGTGCCTACTTGTTGCAAAGTGACAGTGACAACAGGTGTAGGGTGACTAACCCCTTAGTCCACTTGTTGCTAGTGAATAGTGACAGCAGGTGTACGGTGACTAACACCTCAGTACCTACTTGTTGCTAGTGAGTAGTGACAGCAGGTGTATGGTGACTAACACCTCAGTACCTACTTGTTGCTAGTAACTAGTGACAGCAGGTGTACGCTGACTAACACCTTAGTACCTACTTGTTGCTATGACTAGGGGACAGCAAGTGTACGGTGACTAACACCTCAGTACCTACTTGTTGCTATGACTAGTGACAGCACGTGTACGGTGAACTAACACCCTCAGTACCTACTTGTTGCTAGTGACTAGTGACAGCAGGTAGGTGACTAACACCTCATACCTATTTGCTGCTAGTGACTAGTGATAGCAGGTGTACGGTGACTAACACCTCAGTTCCTACTTGTTGCTAGTGACTAGTGACAGCAGGTGTACGGTGACTAACACCTCAGTACCTACTTGTTGCTAGTGACTAGTGACAGCAGGTGTACGGTGACTAACACCTCAGTACCTACTTGCTGCTAGTGACTAGTGATAGCAGGTGTACGGTGACTAACACCTCAGTACCTACTTGTTGCTAGTGACTAGTGACAGCAGGTGTACGGTGACTAACACCTTAGTACCTACTTGTTGCTAGTGACTAGTGACAACAGGTGTACGCTGACTAACACCTTAGTGCCTACTTGTTGCTAGTGATTAGTGACAACAGGTGTACGGTGACTAACACCTTAGTACCTACTTGTTGCTAGTGACTAGTGACAGCAGGTGTACGGTGGTAAACCCTCAGTCCCAAACTTGTTGCTAGTGACTAGTGACAGCAGGTGTACGGTGACTAACACCTCAGTACCTACTTGTTTCCAGTGACTAGTGACAGCAGGTGTACGGTGACTAACACCTCAGTACCTACTTGTTGCTAGTGAGTAGTGACAGCAGGTGTATGGTGACTAACACCTTAGTACCTACTTGTTGCTAGTAACTAGTGACAGCAGGTGTACGCTGACTAACACCTTAGTACCTACTTGTTGCTAGTGACTAGTGACAGCAAGTGTACGGTGACTAACACCTCAGTACCTACTTCTTGCTAGTGACTAGTGACAGCACGTGTACGGTGACTAACACCTTAGTACCTTCTTGTTGCTAGTGACTTGTGACAGCAGGTGTACTATGACTAACACCTTAGTACCTACTTGTTGCTAGTAACTAGTGACAGTAGGTGTAAGGAAACATGCCCAACGTTTCACCCGTGCCGGGTATCTAACCAAGCCACGAGCGCCATTATTTGACGAAAAAAAAGTCAGTTATACACATTTATAGCCTATCAGAAGAAGCATTCCCCAGTTATTGCACACAAAAAATTAATTCCTAATGTTATGTCATAAAAATAACAAACACTGACAGAGCCTAAAACTATTCCAAACTTGTTAAGAAATGTCCGCCAGCATTGAATGTTCGAAGTCAATCAGTAGAAGAAGTCACTAAACAGATTCCCTGGGAGAAAATATAAATGTAGAAACAATAACCACATTTAGTATTCCTTTTCTGGAGATATAAAATAATTGATTTGCTAGTTTACTACACCAATGACATCTTACCCTTGGTATTGCTGATGCATCGTGCTGCCCCAGAGGCGGACTCAGGGTATGGGCCGGAGTCACTTCCATGGTGTCCTGGATGACCTCCGGGGACTTCGACAACTGTATCGTCTATACTGGCGATCATCTGCAATTTTTTATTTGTTCCTGATGGGTTATCTGAGGAACTCATTTTTGCTGCTTTGCTGGATCGTGCAAAATCTCCCGCATCCTCTCCCATTCTGGTAATTTCAGCTTCAGGTGGAGACTGTCCATGATGAGAATGGTCTTCAGCAGCAGTTTCCGTCTCACTCAAAATATTCATAATATCGTCATTGTTCTCAAGTAGAGTTTTATCTTGGTCATTTGTGTTGTGTTCCACTTCTTCAGTTATTTGTGTTGTGAATGATGGCATTGCAAATATTGGTGGATGGTGATGGTGATGATGGTGATGGGGATGGAGTCCTGCCATCGACGGTGGTGTAGAGACCACTAGATGGTGATGGTGGTGAGGTCCTGTCATCGACCGAGGTGTGGAGACCACTGGATGGTGATGGTGGTGGTGATGATGGTGATGGTGGTGAGGTCCTGTCATCGACGGCGGTGTGGAGACCATTGGATGGTGATGGTGATGCGACTCTGTGATTGGCGGCAGTGTAGATTCTTCAGGACGATGATCATGGTGATGAGTTCTCGTGACAGACGGCAGCGTGGAGATTACTGGATGGTGATTGTGGTGATGATGATGAGGCCTTGTGGTTGACGGAGTAGAGAACAACGGATGATTATGATTGTGGTGATGGTGATGATGATGAGAGTGACGGTCACTGACTGCTGAGTCACTGTCCTGAGTAATAGTCAGTCGTCTGGTTTTCAGCGCCTCAGACTGACTGGCATCTCTGTACCAACACTCATCTCCTTGATCCACCAGTTGAAGTCTCTCCAAGTCTATGTCTAACTCCTGGAAGGAGCCGTGACAAGCGGCTAGGGATGAATTGGCAGCCTTTGGTGTCCTGCTCAGCACGGAATAAATCTCTACCTTTAAGCCAATGAACTCGAAGCAGGAGTAAATGCAAGCGAAGCTGATGTAGTTAGTGTTGATGATGTGGCACGGGACAGGCGGCACTGTAACATATAAACTGTAATTGAGGTATGTTGAAGATATAGTATATTTTTATGTACTCAAGGTATGGGATATGGTTTTTTTATGTACATATTAAAACATAATACTGCTTAATCTGTTTCATTAAGAATATCATCCCCTGCCTCCGCCGGTCATGATAACCAAGAGTTGTGCTGTATAAGAGGAAAAAATGATTGTCTCGTCAAGGACAGGCATACTGAATTTTAACCATTCTTAGTTATCTAAAGCATTTTAATATTTTTCAGTGAAAGACTCACGATCCGGAGAATTAGACATACCCCTAGTTGCAATGAATTTGATTGCATCCCGGTCTTCTAAGCCTACTGTGTAGGCGAAACGTTTCGAAATAAAGATACCTAACTGTTGCATATGTGTCTTACCTAACATCCCTTTCAACCTGACGCCAGTATATAAGCGCCAGTCTTCTTGCCTGTGTTCCAGAGTCTTCACGACCACGGTGCTCTTCACACCACCTTCAAGGCTGAGGGACTGATTACCTCATCTTTTGTATGTAATTCCATTGGTTTCCATTTATCTCCTTGAATTTGTATTGATAAAGCCACTGGATGGCGAAACGTCTACAATAAAGATACCCAGATGTTGCACATGTGTCTAATTTTCAGAAGAATTTTTACTGGTAAAGTGTTCCTTGGCTTGGTAGCCAACGCACTCGCCTCACATACTGAGTGTCCGTGGTTCAGTCCCCGGCAAGAGTGGAAATGTTGACTATGTTCCCTTACACCTGCTGTCCCTGTTTACCTGGTAGTACATAGGTAAACCATATCACGGGTGGGGATTGAACTCGTGGCGAGTGACTCCTAAAACTCCAGGCCAGCGCGAAACCCACTGGGCCAGCTGGCTCGCGCTGGCCTGGAGTTTTACGAGTCACCTGCCGCGATTTCAATCACCGCCATTGACGTGGTTTGTTTGTAATAGTGTCATTATGATTTCGTGAGTAAAAGGTACTTAGGTGATTGTCACCTTATATCTTCTGTCCTTGTTTACCTAGCAGTAAGTAGGTACCTGGGTGATATTGGACTGGCGTGGGAGGCATCCTGGGAGACTAGATTAAAGGACCACAATGGAAATAAGCCAGACAGTCCCTGATGACGCACTGACTTTATTGGTTTTATCATGGGGGGCTAACCCTCCTGGTAAAAAAATCATGGGGGGAAAAACCCCTTTCTGGTGAAAAATCATGGGGGGTTTAACCCCCCGGGTTTTAAAAAACCCATGGGTGGCAAAACCCCTCCTGGTAAAAAAACCCAAGGAGGTAACCCCCGGGTTTAAAAAAATCAGGTTTGGCAAATCTTTCCTGGGTTAAAAAAATTCATGGGGGCTAAACCTGGGGTTAAAAAATTAAAGGGTGGCTAACCACCCCTGGTTAAAAATAAAGGGTGGCTAACCCCCCTGGTAAAAAAACCATGGGGGGGCAAACCATCCTGGTTAAAAATCATGGGGGGGGCTAACTCCGGGTTTAAAAAATCATGGGTGGCTAACCATCCGGGTTTTAAAAATATATGTGGCAACCCCCCCGGGGTGAAAAATCGGGGGGTGGCAAACCACCGGGTTAAAAAAACCCATAAGGGGCAAACCATCCGGGTTTAAAAATCAGGGGTGGCTAACCACCCGGAAAAAAATTTTGGGTGGCAAAATCCTGATGGTTAAAAAATCAGGGGTGGCTAATCCTGAGGGTTTTAAAAATCAGGGGTGGCAATCCTGATGGAAAAAAAACTTTGGGGGTTAATCCTGATGGTTAAAAATCATGGGTGGCTAATCCTTCGGGTGGAAAAAATAAATGGGTGGCAAATTCCTGATAAATTAAAAATAAATGGGGGGCCCTAATTATCCGGGTTAAAAAAATAAGGGGTGGCAACCCTCCGGGTTTAAAAAAATCATGGGGGGGTTTAAACCCCCTGGTGAAAAATCATGGGGGGCTAACCCTCCGGGTTAAAAATCATGGGTGGTAACCTCCGGGTTTAAAAAACCAGGGGTTGGCAAAACCCTCCGGGTTTAAAAAAATCATGGGTGGCAAACCCCCCCTTGGTAAAAAATCATGGGTGGCTAACACTCCTGGTGAAAAATCATGGGTGGCAAACCCCCCTGGTAAAAAAATTCATGGGGGGCCCAACCCTCCGGTGAAAAATCATGGGGGGCAAAACCCCCGGGTTTGAAAATCATGGGGGGGCAAAACCCTCCTGGTGAAAAATAAATGGGGGGCCCAAACCCCTTTGGTTTAAAAAAATCCTGGGTGGCTAATTTTCCCTGGTTAAAAATCAGGGGTTGGCTAACCACGGGGTTAAAAACCCAGGGGGGCCCAAACCCAAATCCGGGTTTTAAAAAAACATGGGGGGGTAACCACCCGGGTTAAAAAATGGGGGCTAACCCTCCGGGTTTAAAAAAATCTTGGGTGGCAAACCCCTCTGGAAAAAAATCAGGGTGGCAAACCCTTCCGGTTTAAAAAAATCATATGGGGCAACCCCCTGGTGAAAAATCAGGGGGTGGCCCCCCCTCCGGGTGAAAAATCAGGGTGGCTAACCCTCCGGGTTTAAAAAAATCATGGGTGGCTAATTTTCCCCTTTAAAAATTCATGGGTGGTAACCACCGGGTTTTAAAAAATCATGGGGGCAAACCCTCCTTTTTAAAAAAATCATGGGGGTTAATTTCCCTGTTTGGTTAAAAATCATGGGTGGCTAATCCTGTTTTTTTAAAAAATCAGGGGGGGCAAACCCTGAGGGTTTAAAAAATCATGGTGGGCTAACCTGAGGGTTTAAAAAATTTAGGGGTTTTAACCCCTTAGGGTTAAAAAAATTTTCATGGGGGTTAATCCCCCTGGTAAAAAAATCATGGGTGGCAAACCATCCTTTTTAAAAATTCTGGGTGCTAATCCTCCTGGTTAAAACCCTTTGGGTGGCTAATCTCCGGGTTTAAAAAAACAGGGGTGGAAAAGCCTGCTTAAAAAAAATCATGGGGGGGTTAATCCTCCGGTTAAAAATCATGGGTGGCTAATCCTCCGGGTTAAAAAAATCATGGGGGGGGCTAACCCTCCGGGAAAAAAATTTCATGGGTGGCTAATCCTGAGGGTTTAAAAAACATGGGGCTAACCCTAGGGTTTTAAAAATCATGGGTGGCTAATCCCCCGGTTTAAAAAATAAGGGGTGGCTAACCCTTTGAAATTTAAAAAATAAAAGGGGGTTGGCTAACCCCGGGTTTAAAAAAATAAAGGGGGGCTAATCCTGATGGTTAAAAAAAAAAGGGGGTAATCCTGGGGTTAAAAATAAAGGGGGGCAAAACCCCTCCGGTTAAAAACCCCAATTTGGGTGGCTAATCCCCCTTTAAAAATAAGGGGGCTAATCCTGAGGGTTAAAAAATCATGGGTGGCAAACCTGTGGTTAAAAAAACCCTGTGTGGCTAACCCTGATGGTTAAAAATCAGGGGTGGGCTAATCCCCCGGTTAAAAAATCATGGGGTAACCCTGATGGTTAAAAATCTGGGGGGCAAATCCTCCTGGTTAAAAATATGGGTGGCTAATCCTGATGGTTTAAAATCAGGGGTGGCTAACCCTCCTGGTTAAAAATCAAGGGGGGCTAACCCTCCGGGTTTTAAAAATCATGGGTGGCAAAACACCCCGGGGGAAAAAAATCATGGGTGGCTAACCCCCCGGGTGAAAAACCCATGGGGGGCTAACCCCTGGGAAAATTTCATGGGGGGCTAACCCCCCTGGTAAAAAAAACCTGGGGGGTAACCCTCCTGGTGAAAAATCATGGGTGGCTAACCCCCCTGGTGAAAAACCCTTTGGGTGGCAAAACTTTCCTGGTTAAAAAAGGGAAAGGGCTAACCATTCGGGGTTTTAAAAAATCGGGGTTTGGCTAACCTTCCTGGTTTAAAAATCAGGGGTGGCTAACCCTCCTGGTAAAAAATTTCATGGGTGGCAAACCCCTTTCCTGGTGAAAAACCATGGGGGGTTTAAACCCTCCTGGTAAAAAAATGGGGTTGGCAAAAACCCTCCTGGTAAAAAATCCTGGGGGGCAAAAATTTCCGGGTTTAAAAAAAACCCATGGGGGGGCTAACCACGTGGTTAAAAATCAGGGGTGGCAAACCCAATCCTGGTTAAAAATCATGGGTGGCAAACCCTTTCCTGATTAAAAATCATGGGGGCAAACCCCCTCCGGGTTTAAAAAATCATGGGTGGCAAACCCCTCCTGGTAAAAAATCAGGGGTGGCAAACCCCTGGAAAAAATCTGGGTGGCAAAACCACCCTGGTTAAAAAAATGGGTGGAAAAACCCTCCGGGTTTAAAAAAAATCATGGGTGGCAAAACCCCCCTGGTTAAAAATCATGGGGGCTAACCACCCCTGGTTAAAAACCCAGGGGTTGGCTAACCATCCTGGTTAAAAATCATGGGTGGTTTAAATCCTGATGGTTAAAAATCAGGGGTTTGGCTAACCCTGAATGTTAAAAAAATAAAGGGTGGCAAACCCGAGGGTTTTTAAAAATTATGGGGGGCTAATCCTGAGGGTTTAAAAAATCCGGGTTTTAACCCCTGATGGTTAAAAATATGGGGGGCTAATCCTTTTGGTTTGGAAAAATCATGGGGGGGTAACCATCCTTTTTAAAAAAAATTCAGGGGTGGCTAACCCTCCTGGTTAAAAAATCAGGGGTTGGCTAATTTTTCCGGGGTTAAAAAATTTCATGGGGGGGCTAATCCTGAGGGTTAAAAATCAGGGTGGCTAATCCTCCTGGTTAAAAACCCGGGGATGGCTAACCCTTTCTGGTTTAAAAATTTCATGGGGGTTTAACCCTCCGGGTTAAAAATCAGGGGTGGCTAATCCTCCTTGTTAAAAATCATGGGTGGCTAATCCTTGGTTTAAAAATCATGGGTGGCTAATCCTATGGTTAAAAATCTGGGTGGCAAATCCTCTGGTTTAAAAATCATGGGTGGCAAAACCCTGAGGTTAAAAATCATGGGTGGCTAATCCTCC